ACTCCAGAGACCCAGGAACACTGCCTAGGGAAGGAGCTAACTTGGAAAAATGCACCAGACTCAGATCTGCTATAAGTAACACGTAATTCTTATCCACACACTTTTTAAAGATTTGAAAGTAAAATTAGTATATTTCCCCCTGGAGTCCCTACAATCGATAAAACATAACTTACTACTGGAGTCTCTTACACGCCACCCTAAAATACCTCATCAGAAAGACTCTGTGTCCAAAATGCCAAAGGTCACCTGCCCTTTCCTGAAACATTGCAAAAGTCTGACAACTCTTCTGACTCTGACTTATGCAAATCCCTGACTCAACTGGACTCGTCAAGTGCTACATGTTTTCATCCTTACTCGAGTCAGTTTGTAACCTTTAGCAGATCATTTCAGCCCAGTTTTTGTCCTTTTCATCAAGAATGATGAATTTGGTTTCACGGTCACTGTAAGCTGAAGGACGTGGTGACCACATGAATGGTCAGAAGCAAGGCCAGCTCTCAAAACGGCCACCAAGTCTGTGTCAAGGCATCCACCTTTGTTCTGATCCAGAAGGGAAGATACAAAGTTTCACGGCCAAACTTCACCTTGTGCTCAATCCAGCTGGGTCTGAATTGTAGCCACAGCCTGCGCTACCAGCAGCTATTCGGGTTTTTAAAGATGTACTTACTATAGGTGTGGGCGGGTTTGGTTAGTAGTGTTGTTTGTTAGGGATGCTTGGTGTGGCTGGAGTAGAGGGGGACCTGTCATTGATGTTCCTTATGCTAGTGTGGGTTTCAGCTCCCATCTCAAAAATCAGGGTGGTAATAAGCAAGGAGCCCAGAGGAAACCACTGAGCACGTCTTCCCAAATAGCTCTCCCTGTCTCCTGTGTTCGCATGCTACCCAGACGCCCACACCCTGCGTCCGCGGCAGCCTGCCTCCTTCTGAGGTGCAGTGCGAGAGGCCAATGTCAGGTTTCTCTCAATCTGCAGCAGAGAAGCTGCTGTCTGTCGGCCGCCCCTGGCAGTGAGGGCAGCTCACCCGAGTGTGGCTTCCTTACCACAGGGCAGGCCGGCTGAGAGCTCGGCCAGTTTCTCTTCCTGATGCCGCTTGACTTTTCTTCTCTGGGATTTCCAAGGCATGGACGCTCATTCGTCTGAAACTCTCCTAAACCTCCCGACTAAAAAATAAATACCTAAGTACGACATAAGCAGCGCGCACAGGCAGGATAATTAGGATTGATGGGCTCTTTTAGGGGCACCAAATCCTCATCCTCCCCTTTCCAGTCACATTTCTCACCTGCTCACGCGGTGCCCACCTGTGGCTTGCTGGCATTGCCACTGCCTGCGAATGGGGAGGTTTCCAAGTTCAAAATGAAGGCTGGATCTTCTGTGGTAGGACTCTACCAGGACTGTGGGGAGTTAGCGAAGGAATTAAGGACAGTATGTTGTCCTAGTTTGTGTCACTGCTCCCTTGTTTATGTTCTTCCCCCGACTATTCCCACACCCCCTCTCCAGATTTTTGCATGGCTTTTATAGCCTCTAGTAATTATATCAGCAGCATGGAGTCTATTTTTATCTCTTTTGAATGTGTGCAACATAAATGTCAAAACCCATAAAATCTCTTTTTAGCACGTACCTTGCGTGCAAGGTTTCAGAAAGTGTGATGCAGCATTCAGGGAGATGTTGCATTTTGAGGTCAGACAGATGAAAACTGGAAAACTCAATTTCACCACTTAGCTGCGCGAACTTCCAACAAGACCCTTATCATCTAGAACTTTTGGCTGCTTGTTCTGCAAAATGGAATTCTATACGATGGACAGCACCACATTCTAGTCACTTATTTCATGTCTGGGATGCCCCTTTCTCACAGCAGGTATCTCCAAACACCTAATTTTGTTGTTGTTGCTGTTGTTGTTCTGTGCCTACGTGTTAAGATCTTTCAATGCCCTCCACTGCCCTTTGCCAAACTTAGAACCAGAGAAAGAACAAAAATATTACTGGGTCAGCATGAGCACTGTGAATTATTACAGGATCCCATCACAAAATTATTTATTACATGAGAGAAACACACAGAAGCCACCGTCACCTAAAACTTTCTCTGCACTTAGCAAACAATAATAATAACATTAATAATAATACCACCTAGCATTCGCATGTGCCGGACTCTGGGTATTTTGCGTGTGTGGATTCATCTACATCTTTACAACTACCCAGTGAGGTAGATCCTGTCTTTATCTCTCCATTCAATAGAGGAAGACACTGAAGCAGGTTGAACATCTTGCGCAAAGTCACAAGTTAGTAAGTAGAAAAGTGAAAATTCAAATTTAGACAGCCTGACCCCAGAGCCTACGGAAACATAAAATGTAGGAGAGATAGGAGTTGCATTGCTGAGCTTTTCCAGCTTCTAGTACAAGGCTGTTTCCTCTCTTTTCACTTCCTTTTTGGAATTGGCCCATTAGGGAGGCCAAATGGGCCTGTCCGAAGGGCACATAAACCTGGAATCCCTTACTCAGCTGCTACTAGGTAAGGGTCATCGTGCTTCAAGGGATAGAATGGCCTCAGCATGTCCAAGTGGTCTGGTGCATTTTTCTTATGGCTTATTAGTTTATCTTTAACATAGATGGGGAGAAGGATTTGGAGAGTTGTGGAAAAAAAACGTGTTCCTTTCTAGTCAAAAGTATACTATTGTGAAGAATAAACAAGATGGAAGTAACATGGAGACAGGGAGGGGATAATCATAAAAAAAAACAAAGGGTGTATTTGATGACCATAAACAAAATCCAGCCATCAAAGAAAGAATATAACTACCATAATACATTTTGGGGGGCAAGCAAATAAGAGTCAGTTCTGTCAAGTTTCTCTCCTTTCTCGTAAGTGAATTGTTCATTTTTCCGGGCCTATTTCCACTGTTACCGTTGCAGAGAGCAGGGGAGGCCAACACCGCCGGAACCCACTTCTTTGTAAGGTTAAGGCGATTACTGACCAGATGCTCAGCAGCCAGAGAAATGCTCGCATGTAAAACAGAACAGGGGATTGAAGAACTTAGGAGGTGACATTTAGAGAAGTATGGTATCTTGTAAACACCAAAGTGCTTCAACTTTTATCACACTTGAAAATCAGTTCTCTGAAATTTACAGTTATTAAACTTAATCCTTAATCTTTGGTACGGTGCCCTTATGAGTCATCAGACCAACTCAGATGTGGAAGTGTTTGAGAGAAGAAAAAAAAAAAAAAAAGGAGAGTAAATTGATTAATGATCATTAAAATACCCTGGGATCTGGGAAGACCCATAGTAAAGAGCACTGGGCATGAATGAATATTGATCTAAAGATCCAGAGCTTTGCTGAAGATATACAATGCAACATGTTCTGCAAAAACAGTCCCAGAAATGAAATATATATGTATCTTTTCTGCACTAACTAAGCAGCTAAATTGCTTGCTGACTAGGTTGGAGAAAAGAAGGGCGGATATGGAAAGGAAGGAAGGAATGCTTCAGTATCCTTTGGCCCCTGATCTAGGGCATCTCTGGGAAAAGGAAAGGAGTTGGAGCATGGAGTCTCCTGAGAGCATCATATGAACATCTGAAATTGTATCGCTCACCCGGTGCAGGTGTGTTTAGGGTGTTTAGGTGCGCTCCAAGGTAGGTGGGCCAGGCCTCGTTTAACTGCCTGTGTAAAAGTTAGAACTTGATGCACTTAATTTTCAGAAGAGAAGAAGGAGGAAGAGGGGGTGAGGGAGGGAAATGGCGCCATGTATGGAAGATCCCCACATACGTTACCTCCTCTGAGACGCTGATGCAACAAACTCCCCTGGAAAGCAAAAGCATGGATACATTTTAAATTTAGTTTTAATGACTTCACTTTAGTAAGTTTTGGGGCCGACGAGACCATTGAAAGGGCAAAGCTACCAGTAATTATAATCAGGTAAGATTATAAGGAATTTTCTCTGGTTCTGATGTCTATTTCCCCCCCCAAAAAGGGGGGGTGGTGGGGCTTTTTGTTCTTCTGTATATAGTTGGATGGCATTGTTCTGTCTCTGTGGGGAGCTGTAAAATGGAAGCTCTCGAGGGAGGAAGAGAGGTCTTGGTTTGCAACTGAGAGCAAAAGGTACCACCTGCATGTCTTCCACGAAGCTAGGGCGCTTCCTTTAGATTCACGTATATCCGTAATCAGCTTAACTAAGCAGGTAAGGTGTTCATTAGCTAGGTTGGGTTTTAAAGGAGAGAGAGAGAGAGAGAGAGAGGCAGAGGGGGGAGAGACAGAACGAATGTAGAAGAGTGAGAAGAACAAACAAGTCAAAGCATTTGTTCATGCTGCAATCTACACATCAATTATCCCGCTGTGCTAATTACCACCTTTCCATACCCCAGGTACCTAAGCATTCACACTTACTCACTCTTTCATGCCTCTGATCAAAAAAAAAAAAAAAAAAAAAAAAAAAAAAAAAAAAAAAAAAAAAAAAAAAAGACGAAGACGAAGAAGAAGAAAAGAGGAAAGACATGATAGAAGGACAGAAGCAGGGGCTGATGAACCCAGAGGTGAAATAAATTCTTAGATCGAAATTTCCTTTACGTAGGAAAGTATAGGGGGTCTTCTCAATTTTGCCATTGTTGTTTTAGACAGTTAACCATTTGCAAAGGTTTTAATTGCAAAATATTACTTACTGTCAGGATTCCAGGAGCGTTTCCATCTCGTCAGCCCTTGTTTTGATACTTAAAAGAAAATAGAGAGGTGAGAATTGCCGGTCTGGCCTGAGAGTTTGGGGTTGCGCCATTAGAATGAGACCAGATCATTAAAAGTCGGTGACAAGTAATTATCAGGCTACTTTTCTGAGGCTATTCAAAAATTGGGCAGTAAGGAGCCAGGGAGCTACCTTTGTATCAAAACCTTGGTGTTCCTGCTCACGGACTGAACCTTTAGCTAACAATTAAACATTCTTTATTATGATGAGATCTGGGCTCAGAATCCCTGTTGGTCTGTGGGCTTCCTTGTCAGGGTGCTCATTTTCTCATTTCAGAGTGAAGTTGGATAAAAAGAAAACCTATTTCCTGTAGCTCATTTGATACCTGGTGGGGATGCTATTCAGGTGACAAGGATACAGGCACAGAGGGGGAACAGATGTGATTTACACACTCATTATCATTTGAATGAAAGTGCAGATAGGCCTGTTCAGGGGCCCGGGCATCACCTGGACAGCTTTCCTTCTGATCTTTATCCCATCTGAGAGGCCAGGTCCCCCTGACATCTTTAAATCCCCGACCCCCAGCTGGTGACACACAGAGTTTTATGACAGTCAGCAGTCCTCTGAAGCTCCAAGCACAGATGCCATTCAGAATTGTGCTTCACACTGTTTTTTTCATTGTGTTCAGGCTTAATCAGGAATATATCCAAAAAAAGCTTAACTTGAATAATTTCCTTTGGTGCTTCTCCAGAAACCTGTTTGCCACTCGAAGTTTGTGTATAGTCTTCTAAAGGGCCTCAGATTTTGTGTTCTTGGAGTTATGCGCACACGTAGCTGCTTCAGCTTTCAGAAAAGGACAACAAAAGGGAAAGGACCATAAGTTATAGATGTCATCAAAGTCCTGTGTTTTCCTGAGTATCAGATCAGACGAGCTCAGGATTGTGGGAGATAAATTTCAGAGTGGAGAGCCAGTAGGAAAGTTTGGGCGAAAGTCCCCAAAAGAAAAGTTTCTGGTTGGTCTGTTTTGCTCTTCAGAAGGGATCCTCAGCTTCTTTGTTTCGATACCTGGAGTGGCCGCTGTCACCATGGCCCCTCCAGCATTTTATGTTACTGATTTGTGGGACGTGTGAATAATATGGAAATATTGCTTATGTCATCTGGAGAGCTCAAATGATGAGTCCTGCACAGGACACACTGTTTCTTGTTTTTTTGTTTTGTTTTGTTTTGTTTTGTTTTGTTTTGTTTTTTTAATCCATTTTCAAGAAAGCGTGCTTCAGTTCAGGACAGGAATGCACAACAACCTTGAAGAACTTAAACTGTTGTTTTTCACCTTCCCTTATCTCAGGCAGCCTGACAGATTTGGTGGGGAGCAAAAAGTGAAAGGAATCTGTGAGAACAAATGCTGTGGTGTTTCATGATTTTAATTAGGTATTGTATTAAGGAGAAAAATATAATGAACACAAGCACATACACATTTTACTTCCCATCTAACATTAACAGTTAAAGAAAACAATCACTATCAAATTACTTTGTTACCGTCCATAATTACAACTCAGGTTACGCTTAACTGTTATTAACAGAATGTACAGTAATATGTTCTGGCATCGTAATATGTTATTGTAGCATTATAATTAATCTTACAGGAAGTATAATAAATTTACAGTATCAGATTGAAGCAATACTGCATATAGATTTATTAATGCTTTTAATCAGTTCTGGCAAAATTAATTTTGCACTGATTGCTTACATTGGAATTTGCATATACTTAGTGAAAGTAATTTATTTTTTATGGATTCCTTTTTATTAAAATAGGGCATATGGCCCTTTAGCTACAAAACTTTGCTGATTCTTTAGCTAAAATATTCCTAAACATTTTGAAATGCCATATATCTTCCACTTAAGAATTCTTTCTCTTAAGGTTTATTTTTGCGCTGTATTCTTTAAAATGCTTTCTTAGTTCTCATTTCAATGATCTATTTTTTTATAACTATAATGCTTGTTTTCATGTTGCCACTAGCCTGTCAATTTCCCCCCAAGGGCCTGAGTTTGAATACAAATATGACTTTTGAAAAATGTCTACATTGATAAAACAGTGCATTAACATTTCAGAAAGTTTCATGTGTCAGTTAAACAAAATGGAAAAATAATGAAATTTTACTATTGGAAAAGTCCAGTAAAAAAGGGACAACACATGAGAATGTTGTCACTTCCAGGGCTACTGTGTTCCAGGATTCTAAAATGCTTTCTGTGCTGTGCAGTGTGTGTGCATAAAAAAGGCTAGTACAGATTGAGAAAAACTTAAACTCATATGAATGTTGTAAATTGAAACACAGGAGTGGGAAAAATATACCTTTTGTGTCCTTCTATCTAAATACACATGCTTTGTAAGGAAAAGCAAGTTATTCACACACAAAAATTCAAACTATCTTTAGGAAACGTAAGTTTGGTATATTTTAATTTTGATTGAGGTTGTATATTTTGAATCTATATTTCACCTTTCTCAAAAATATGAAATGAGAGGGTCTAGTGGGTACTGATTAACTTCTTTGGCAAAAAAATATTTGAAGGATGACTTCTTATTCTTCCAAGTCTTAACATGGCCAGTGTTCCTTGGCTTGAAAATTGAGCAAGCATGGTGACATACAGATTTCTTTTCCTGCCTTAGTAGGCTAAAATATGAAAATCATTCTATAAACTTGTATCGATTCTGGATAGTTCTGCTCTTCTAAAACTAATTTTAAGAGAGTCAAATGAAATTAAACATTTTCATATTGCTTTGTCTTCTTCACTAAAATTCATGGATACATATACAATTAGTCTGGCCTCTTTGGGCTCAATACCAA